GAACCCCACTTAGTGGAGGGGGGAGGGGAAGAGCTGAATGGGACACTGGTGGGGAGGTTGAGGGGACCTCTACCTTCTAGTACTCCCTTCCCCTGCCTTTCTCTCTGCTGTACCCAGCCATTAGTAATGGAGAACCACTTGCTTAATGGCCAAAGAGTATATGATTCCCCAAAGACCGATAACTTATTTTATAGGAGGATAAAAGAGTTTTTGGGAAGGGATTTGATTTGGAAGGGGACTCAGCTTGCCCCCAGAGAAGGGGTTCTTAATTATTTCTATGTAATGGACCTCTTTGACAGTTTGGTGAAACATATGGAGCCGCTTCTCAATATAAATATTTTTAAATGAATAAAATAAAATGCACACACCTACAAAGGAAATCAATTATATTGAAATACAGTTTTCATGGACACCAAGTCAAGAACCCCAAATCTATGGTTACTACAACATTATGTGATGAGTGCATTAGGCATTGAAGAGCAGAGGAGTGGGGCCAGGTCTTGTAGACCCAGGGTGCCACCCAGCCTTTGCTTAGACACCTCCAGTGATAGAATTGCTTCTCTCACAACAAAGCCTATGCCATTGCTGCGGGGCTCTGATTGCTCTGTATCCTGAACCCCTTCGAATAGGGGCTCTGGAAGCGTTGATTCAAGGCACTCTTTGAGTTACCATCTATTCAGTACCATAGCTCATGAGTCTCCATCTAGTGTTTCTTTTCTTTTTTTTAACTAGGCCAAAGCAGAGGACACTTCAGCTCAAAACAAAGACAATTTCATTGTACAAAACAGCAAGGTAAATAAGATTCCTTCCTCTATGCTCACCACATACACTCAGATTCTCACACAGCTGGTGGGAGGGGAAATACTCCTATACTGGATATTTTATACTCCTAAGGCGGCTTCCTAGTTAGAAAATCCCTCCACCTCTGAATCTGCCACTTGCTCCTGCCATGCAGAGCTGTTGACATCGTCTATGGCTGCTTCCTCGGCTATAATAGCATCTTTTAATTTTCCGCCAACCTTTTCTATCTGTTAGTTTTCTGCTTCTTTGCACCTGTTAAGTAGCCTCTCTTCAGAGGAGTATTAACAGCACTTTTTGCTAGCCTTGGGGACATTTTGACTCTTTTGTGATTCAGATTGACAGCCCCACACAGTCTACACAATGGGAGCAGTGACTGTACCCTAATTCAAATCTATCATGTGAAGAGTTTTGGTTTCTCTCCAGTGTCAGCTCCCCCTAGGACTAGTCTAGGTTAATGTTGCAACCTTTGAATAGTCCTGATGACCAGTTCATGGGGTCATTAGATTGAGAATTGGAAAAAGGCCTTTAGAGGTCATCTAATACAACCTGTTCATTTTATAGAATAGAAAGCTGAGGCTCAGAAAAGAGAAATGATTTGTCCAAGCTCAACCATGTAGAAAATTGCAGAGCTGAATTCCAAATCCAAGTTGTCTGACTCCAAAGCCAGTACTCTACCCACTGCCTGACCCTCCTTGATGTGGGAGAGTTCATGAAAGACCTTCAGGACTTTTAGGATGAAGTTTAGAAAGTCGCATCCTTGAATAGATACAGGAAAGATCATTCTTTGGATTGTCTGCCTAAGGAAACCCAGCTCTTTTGCCCTTTAGGCTCAAGAGTCTGCTGGTCTGGGTACCCCTTGGTCCATCAGGAAACCCAGACATGTTTTCTAGGCTGGCTAAGGAACTTCCTAAGCTTCTTCTTACAACTTGCAATTTTTATGAATCTCCCAGGTAATTTTCAGACAGTTGAAGGAGGGGAATCACAGAGCTACCCATTATGGCGCCATGATCCATAATAACTATTTATTAAGAGCCTACCATGTGCCAGGCATTGCACTGGGTGCTAGAGGTACAAGTATATAATTTTTATTGCATTCTGGTGAAGGATGTATTTAATATTTCTGCCTTTTTGTATATGTTTATGTCCTAATCATATAGCTGAGAAAATGCAGATTCCTTTCTGTTCCCATTCAGTAATCACCAAAGATGCATCACCTCTGATTTTTTAAAAATTCTATTTGATCCTTAAATTACTTCTTGTTTATATTTTTGTTAGAGTTTTCCATGTCTGGAAGGGATACATTGAGGTCCATCACTGTTATAATTTTACTCTTTCTGTCTTCAGTTTAATTATCTTTTCCTTTCAGGATATAATGCTATGCTATTTGGTGCACATATGAAGCATTAATATTAATTTATTATCTGTGGAACCTTTAAACATAATGAAATTTCTCCACTTTTCTCTTTTTATCATGTCTATTTTTATTATAGCCTTGTCTGAAATCTTGTTTATCCTTGCTTTTTTTTTAAATTCACCTGAAGCATAATAGATTTTGCTGTTGCTCCTAATTTTCACTCTTTGTGAATCTTTATGTTTCAAGTGTGTTTCTTATAAAAAATTGCTGGATTCTGTTTTCTAGTCTGAGATATGAGTACCAAGGATGAAATCCCTGCTTACAAGGTGCTTACATTCTAACAAAGGAGACAAGTACATGTAGAAATATATACAGCATAAAAGAAAGGAAATAAATACAAGTGTATTTTGTTGTTGTCCATTAGTTTGGGCTGTATCTGACTCTTTGTGACCCCACTTGGGGTTTTCTTGGTAAAGACACTGGAGTGGTTTGCCATTTCCTTCTCCAGCTCATTTTACAGATGAGGAAACTGAGGCAAACAGGGTTAAGTGACTTGCTCAAGGTCACACAGCTAGTAACTCTCTTGAGATCAAATTTAACTCATGAAGATGTGTGTTCCTGCCTCCAGGTCTGGCACTCTTTACAAACCAGTTAAATACATGGTAGTTTGGTAAGAAAGTCATTAGTAATTGGGAGAAATCAGGAAAGGCTTCAAGCAGATGGTGCATCTTAAAGGAAGAGAGGGATTCCACGAAGTAGAGTTAAGGAGGGATAGTATTCCTGGCATGGGGAATGGCCAGTGCAAAGTCATGGAGACAGGCTATGCTGTGTGTAAAGAACGGAAAAACCCACTTTGGCTGGATTAAAGCGTGCAGAAGTAATGGGAATGATGCCTAAAGAAAGGGAAGGCATAGCTCCACTCTATCTATCTATCTATCTATCTATCTATCTATCTATCTATCTATCTATCTATCTGTCTGTCTGTCTGTCTGTCTGTCTGTCTGTCTGTCTATCTATCTATCTATCTATCCATCTATCTATCTCTCTATCATCTACCTAAAAGTTGATCATCCTCTCTTCCTGGATACTTTTCCTTCTCTGGGTTTTCATGATACCACTATTCTCTTGGTTTTTCTCCTCCCTATCTGACCACTGTCTTCTGCTCTTCTCAGAGCAGATCTGGAGCATTGTTCAGTACCACATTTTCAGGAGGGACATTGAATAACTGGAACATATCTAAAGGAGGGTGACCAAGATGGTGAGGGGCCTGAAGACCATGCCATTCAAGGATAAATTAAAGGAACAAGAGCTGTTTAGTTTAAAGAGATGATTTGGGGAGAGGGAATATATTAGTTGTTCTGAAACGTTTGATGGGCCACCCTGTGGAATTTAGCTTTATTCTTCTTGGCCCCCCAGGGTAGAATTCAGGCCAATGGATGGAAGTTGTGAAGACGTTAGTTCTGTGTGATGAAAACCTTCCTAACAATTAGGGGTGTCCAAAAGTACAATGGATGACCTTGATAGGTTAGAGGTCTCCAACTAGAGTCTGGATGGTTACTGGGATAGTGTAGAATGGATTCTTGCTTCTGGTTAACATTAGATTAAATGCTCTCCTAGTACCCTCCAGCCCTGAGGGTCTAAAATATGATAATTCTACCGAGGGTGGCTTCCTGCTAATGCAGTGAAAACAATTCCCTGGAGTTTGGCCTGGCTCTCAAAAACCCCTGACAGCAAAAGAGATTATGCAGCAGCAGCTAGGTCTGGGTGGGGCAGGTTACTGGAGACAGATCGGAGGGTGAGAAGATGGCAAAGGAACCCCTGTGAAAATGGATAGACAGAAAATTCTTGCTTAGTACAGTGCCTGGCACATAGTAGGTGCTTCAAAAATGTTTATCAACTGACTTTCTTTGAGGAGCTTAGTTCAAAAGTTCTTCCTCCAGCCTCCTTCTGCCCTCCTTTATTATTTCCCCTTCTTTACCCTATATCTCTTCCTCACATTTTATTCTTCCTCTTCCATTTGCCCTCCCTCCTCTCTTCTCCCTCCTCCCTTCTCTAGTCTTCCTATTCTATTCTCCTTCCTTCCTCCTTCCTCTAGCCTCTCTCTCCCATTCTTCTTCCTTTGTCCCTTTTCTAGTCTTCCTTTTCCATTTTCATTCTCTCCTTTTTTCTTCCTTCTCTACTCTTCCTCCTCCTTCCTTGTTCTTCCTCCTCCCTCCTCCACTCTCCCTTCTTCCTCCTCTACTCCCCCTTCTTCCTTCGTTCTCTCTCCTCCCTGTTCTCTTTTCCATTTTCCACCATTCTCCCTCCTTTGATTTCCCCTCCTCCCTTTTCTAGTCTCTTTTCCACTTCTACTCCCTCCTTTCTTTCCCTCCTGTACTCTCCCTCCTTGTTTGATTCTCCCTCCTTCCTTTTCTAGTCCCCCTTCTTTCTCTCTTTACTTTCTATACACTTTCTATTTACTCCTTCCTTTTCCTTCCTCTATTTTCCCTTCTCTCTCCTCCCTCTTTTCCCTTTGGAGTGGGAAGTGCCAAGTGGCAGGAGAGAAATGTCATTAATCCTCCCCTACATAAGCCAGAAATGGTGAGCCAGAGGGACCTGTAACCTTCACTCTGTGTCTCATCCCCCCACCAACAACCTTCCATTCCTCACATGTGCCAACTCTGAACAATGCTGTCTACATCAGCTCCAAAATAGCCACTGTCCCCCTGGCTTCTTCTCCTTTTATAGCCGTGTCCCTATTGTAAGGCTCCCCCAACCCCCACTGGGGGTGGGGGTGGGGGATGAAGGGCGGGGGAGACACTAGTGACTTGGGGAGGGGCGATAACGGCTGGAGATAAAGACCCTGAACTAGACCCGAGTCCAGCACTGCCTTAGCTCCTCTGAGCCTTCCCTTCCTTCACTCTATTCTCCCTGGGCTCACTCTCCTACCTCTCCCTTCCTTGCCTCACCAGCCCCTCTCCATGGCTCCCAAGAAGCCTGACCCAAAGAAAGAAGACGCAAAGGCTGCCTCCAAGGCGGCCCCAGCCCCAGCTCCAGCCCCAGCCCCAGCTCCAGCTCCCCAGCCTGAGCACCCCAAGGAAGCCGAGTTTGATGCCTCCAAGATCAAAGTAGGTCTCTTTCCTAGGCCTTTTCCCTGGGGGTGAGACTAGAGTCAGCCCTGGAGGGATTCTGAAATTCTAAAGAGGGATGAGATCGAATGGAGTTAGGCTAGACTTCCGCAAGAGGAGTTTGCAGAAGAGAGACTGGGAAATAGACTAGAGACTGGGAGACCAGGAGAGATTGGGAGGCTGCACCCCTGAGGGGGTGGTACGAGGAGCGGGACAAAGTAGGAATTTCCTGGGGTGGTGGGGAATATCAGAGTTGGAAGACACAGGTGTAGCATGCAGGGTATTTCATTGTAGTGAAAATAATACTGGATTTGCAAGTGGAAAATCTGGGTTCAAATCCTGGTTCTACCATCTAATTTCTGTGTGACCTTGGGCAGATCACTGTCAACTTTCTTAACTGTAAGGGAGGTGAGTAGATTAGGTGGTCTTTAAGATGTCTCCAGCTTCAAATCCTGTGATCATGTGTTTGTTTGTTTGTTTGTTTGTTCTTAGTAAGGCAGGAGGCAAACAGTAACTAGGATGGGGTGGCTAGCTCTTTGTACAAATATGCTGAGTTGGGGAGGGGCATGCTTCCTTCCAGACACTTCAGTCACCAAACCTCACGCCTAGTTTTCCATTCACTTTGCTACTGTGTGATCCTGTTCCATCACCTGACCCCAGACCACCATTCCCAGGGTTCTATTACTGTGTCACCCCTCTCCCAGGTGCACTTTCTCCCCAACCCCTCCCTAATGAGGTTGAAACCCTTTAGGGGCTGGGCTGCCCCTTCTCCTGTTCTCTGTGGTTGGATCAACCTCTGTGCCAACACACCTGTGTACCCATTTCCACTACCACAGTTCTGCCACTGTCCCTGTCCTGATAATCCCTGATCCTCTTCCCCCTCAAAAACCCCAACTATTTTTGTCCTGAGTGAAAGAATGTCTAGTTGTGGCTCAAGAAGGAAGAAACTAATTTAACATTAAGCATATTCATGGAAAGTGAAGCAAGGGGGATTAAAGTTAGATGCCAATTAGAACCTTTCGTGAAGATCCTAGACTATATTGGGGTTACAGAATTTATATTGAGAATGAAGGGAAGGAGAAATGGAAAGGCAGTGTCATAAGAATCATAGATACAGTCCTAGAAGGAAATTTAGAGATTACCTGGTCCAATTTCCTAGAAAGATTCAGTGACTTGCCTCAGGCCGCAAGTATAAGTAGCAGAATTGGGATTTGAATCTATGTTGTCCAATTCCAAATCTGGTCTCTTCCCACTGCACTACCCAGCCTCTCCCATCTACCAAGATCAAGGAGACAGTTGGGAGGACCTTTCACTCGGTTTCTTTCTCAGATCCTATCTCTAGAGGAGGGCAGCTAGGTGGAGCAGTGGATAGAGCATTGGGCCTGGAGTCAGGAAGATAGACACATCTTCATGAGTTCAGATTTGGCCTCAGACACTTACTAGTTGTGTGGCCCTGGGCAAGTCACTTCACCCTGTTTGTCTCAGTTTCCTCATCTGTAAAATGAGCTGGAGAAGGACATGGCAAACCCCTCCAGTATCTCTGCCAAGAAAACCCCAAATGGATCACTAAACGTCAGACACACCTGGGGGGAAAAACACAAGAACAGACTCTAGGGGATATGAGGAACTCTGCCCAGGCTTGGAACTGGGAATGAGCAATAAAATTAGAAGTTGGCAACATTTACCTTAGGCATGTGTACAACTCTCTATTCTGATAATTATATATTGTGAGGATTAGTTGAAGGAAATGGGGATCTCAAGCCTGGGGAAGGGAAGACTCAGGGGAACATTATTGCTGTCTTTAAGTATTTCAAAGGGATTAAACTTATTTTGCTTGACCTCAGAGGGTAGTAATTAATTAGGACCACTGGGTGGAAGTGAAGAGCAAGGCAGATTTCAACTCCATATAAGAAAAAAAGAACTTCCTAAAAGTGAGAATTTGTGAATTTCCCCACACTGGTTATCTTCTAGTAGAGACAAGGTAATAAGAATGACCCCCATTCAAAGATAATGTAGTTGGGATTAATGCTTTAGTCAATACACAATTCACATTTTTATAGTGCTTCAAGATGTGAAGTAGTTAGTACAAGTATTTTTATGCCCATTTTACAGATGGGGAAACTGAGGTCTAAAGTGGCACCTGGTATCATGTCTGGCACATTGTTGTTGTAGTAGCTGCTATAGGTGTAGGTGTAGCTTAGCTGTTATTATTATATAGTACCTACCATGGGCAGCTACATGGAGCAGTGGATAGAGTGCCGGGAATGGAGTCAGGAAGACTCATCTTAGTTCAAATCTGGCTTCAGATATACTAGCTTTGTGACCTTTGACAAGTCACTCAACCCTGTTTGCCTTAGTTTCCTCCTCTGTAAAATGAGCTGGAGAAGGAAAAGGCAAACCACTCTAGTATCTCTGTCAAGAAAACCCCAAAGAGTCGGACGCTAAAGTACAAAAAGTACCTAATGTGTGCCAGGCGCTATGCTAAGCTCAATTCTGCAAGGTAGGTGCTGTTATTATCTCCATTTTATAGTTGAGGAAACTGAGGCAAAGAGGGGTTAAGTGACTTGGCCGGGATCACAGGGTTACTTGAGCCAGTAAGTTTTTGTGAAGACACAGCTCCTCCCCTCAGGGAGCTCCCACTCTGGTTGGGAAGACAAGACTCATGCACAGGGAACAGTTAAGTAACAGGGTGATTCTCCTAGGATTACCATGTTGAGCCTCCTCCCTTCCCTGTGATGGGAAATTCTTCCTGGTTTTTAGCCTTAGTCCTAAAGTTTCTTTTTCTCTAAAGCAGAAGCTCTTAACCTGGGGTCCATGAACTTAGATAAGAAAGTTTTTAAAAATTTCAGTATAATTATTATACAGATAATTCTTTTTATTTTCAAAGCAGTTGATTTCCTTTGTAATTCCATGTATTTTATTTCTCTTGTTAAAAAATATTTTCTAAGAAGGGGGTTCACAGGTTTTTTACCAGACTACCAAAAGGGTTCATGGCACAAAGAAGGTTAAGAATGTGTGCTCTAAATGGTTAAGAGGACGAGGTAGGTGGGTCCAGGTCCACCCTGGGGATGTGACTTTAGGGCTCTGGCATTCCACATAGCAGCACGGCTGGTCCTCTAGAACACAGTAGAGGTGGGGGTGGGGGCGATGTTTGAAACTGTCCTTGGCTAAGGTTGGTCCCTCTAGCCCCAGGTCCCACCCCCACCCCTTTCTGAGTTTTGGCCACCTTCCTAGCTATGTCCTGTCTTGTTCACCTTACAAACATTTCTATTTCACAGTCCAAGCCCAGAGAAAAAAAGGTACCTTTCAATCACTTGCACAAATGATGAGCGTGTAGGTGATGGATAAATAATATTTGTAAAGTGGTTTTGAATTCCCAAAGTGCTTTAAGAATGTGACCTTGTTTGAGCTTTCCTGGGAAGTATTATTGGTATTTTAAGCCTTGTTTTACAAATAGGAAACTAAGTCTTAGAGAGGTGACTTTTCCATGGTCACACAGCCAGTAAAATGTCATAGGTCTTCCTGAGGTCTGGTCTTCCTGACTCTAGATCCTGCACTCGGTACACTGTGGAGGTAATAACAATAATAAACAATAAAAGTAGCACGTATATAGCACTTTGTCACTACACAACTGACTAACCTTTCTAGTCACACACACACACACACACACACACATTTATTTATCTTGATCTCTATCTCTTTATCTTGATCTCTTTCTAGTCCTATCTTTATCTCCTCTCTCTCACTCTGTCTCTACATCTTCATTTCCATTTCTGTCTTCATCTCTATCATCTCTATCTCTTTCTCAGTGTCTATCTCTGAATCTGCCTCTCTCTCTCTGTGTCTCTGTCTCTTTCTCTTGATCTCCATTTCCATCTCCTCCTCTGTCTATCAAGGTGGCTGTGGGGCTCTCAAAGACTCTACCAGCTCCAGCAGTTCCTCCAGGCCCAGTGATGGGCGTTATCATACGGCCACCATGTAAACGAAGGATTAGATTGGTTCTGCTCAGCACCAGAGGGCAGAACCTTATAGGACCAACAGGTAGAAGTTGCAGAGAGGCCGATCTTTGTTCTATGTAGAAAAGATTAGGGGCAGCTAGGTGGTGCAGTAGATAGAGCTCTGGTCTTGGCGTCAGGTGGACCTGAGTTCAAATCTGACCTCAGACACTTGACACTTACTAGCTGTGTGACCCTGGGCAAGTCACTTAACCCCAATTGCAAAACAAAAAACAAGAAAAGAAAAGATTACCAGGGGCTGCCCTATGAGGGGGCAGGCATTACTAGGGAGTACTCATTAGAGTTCTTCCAACAAAGGCTGGATGATCACTTATTGGGGACAATGTAAAATGAATTCTTATTCAACTCAAGCAGAATTTGAACCCACACCCTGTGACTCTAGAGACAGAGCTTATTACCACAAGCTGTCCTAAATCATTATGGTCCATTAAGATTGCCAGTCCTTTCAACAAACCACTCTTCAACCATAGATTATCTCCAGGACTTTGTCAGCATCTACCTGTGTTTCTTTAGACTTTGGGGTCACCTGGAACAGCCTATTGATCTATGACCTTTGTTTCAACTTCTTTGTCTTAGTGCTTAGAATCTTGGATTTTCTATGTATTAGAACTCTTAGGGGCAGCTAGGTGGTGCAGTACATAGATCACCGGCCCTGGAGTCAGGAGGACCCGAGTTCAAATCCGGCCTCAGACACTTGACACTTACTAGCTGTGTGATCCTGGGTAAGTCACTTAACCCCAATTGCCTTACCCAAACAAACAAAAACTTCTTAATTTCTTATCTAGGTTGTTAGGTGGCACAGAGGATAGAACACTGGGAATGGAGTCAGAAAGACCTGCATTCAAATCCTACCTCAGTTACTTACTAGCTGTATGACTTTGGGTAAATCATTTAACCTGCCTCAGTTTCTTCAACTGTAAAATGGGATAATAATAGTACCTACCTTTCAGGCTTGTTGTATGGGTCCAATGAGATAATATTTGT